TTAAAAGCATATTCCTTCAGGCACACTTTATGTGGCCATGAGCAATGCGATACTGGTAGGGATTTTACGGCCCAGGGGCCTGCACCTTTTACATGGTACTGCACTGCTTTTTTTGAAATTAAAAAAACTATAACTGTATCACCAAGTTTCTAGATTTCAAATGGCTACACTCAAAAGCACGGGCTGGAGGAAATACGTGACTCTTGAGGATTTTTGCTGTCACGTTGCATGTGGCCTGATTACTAAGATGTTTTCAATAGCTCTTTAGCCTGGCCGAGCTTTTCTAAAGGGTAAAACCGTACTTCTCTTTGAAGTGAAGGATTCACTTCTCTGATGAAATAAAACCTTTCATGCAGAAGAATGCGTACCCAAATGGAAGAGTTAATGTACCTCAAGTATGTGAGAAATGTGATTCCCACTGTGCAATGTTAGGAAAGGCTCCATCTCATTGTTTTCAGGATAAAACTTGAGGAAAATATTAATGAAATCTAACATACCACTCTGTAAGTCCTTGCTAGATACCAAGGCATGCTCCTGGCTCCCATGGCAATGAATGTAAGCATTGTAAGCACTCAGTTTGCCTTGATTTGGGCCTTCAGTCAGTGAAGTGGTTTCTCCCCACAGACATGTTTGTTTGACGTTCACAAATCTTGCATTTTGCCTGGATGTCGAGTGGATCCGTGCTGAGAAACAGTGGTAATCATCCTAATTTAAGTATCAGGAAGTACACCTCCAACAGATGTCAATACAGGGGTTTCCCTGGGGCAACAGAAGACTACAGACTTCGAGAACTAATCTGGGATCACCATTAACTGCAACGGTTCCCTGTACCCTGCACTTCAGCCTGAGCCGTCCTGATGTGGTTCCCGCCTGGGCTCCACCTCACTCAGTGTCTCCTTCTTGTATAGCCTACTCTGCCTTGGACCAGTTTGCCCTCGTCTTAGAAAAACCCTTTCCCTCTGTACTTTCTTGTCACATACCTGATGGCTGGTTGTGGCCATTCACTGCATAGATGTATGTGTTCAATGGGCTCCATGCCCTTTCCTGAGATTTGAAAATAATTGTAAATTGCTTGCTAGCCCCTTTCTGTTTTCTCAGCTGGTACAACTATTACAAAAAAAATGTTCATGTAAAAAAATGTTAACATAACACTTCCGAGAGGCCACATCTCGTCAAAGCTAAAAGATGAAGGGTTGGGAGACAGAATTTGAATCTGCTTTGATCAATTATGTGATCTTGGACACCCACAAGCCTCAGTTTCCTCCTCACCTATAAGTAACATCCCTACTTGCTATGAAGAACACATGTCCCTCACAAGCTGAGCAGCTGGAAAGCACCAGCCACTCCCTGGGAGAAAGACTGGGTTTTCTGCTCCAGTAGGGTGCCAGTCTCAGAAACTCACAGGGAGTCCTTCCCTGCCCTGCTGGGTGTGGGGGTCAGCATCAGTGATGGCAGCGAGTCTGCTTGGGGATTTGAACACAGTGCCTATTGCCTGGAAGACTCAACTGCCTCTCCCACTACTCCGTGGATGAAGAGAGCGCAGGCGGCCCTGGTCGACAAGTAGATTGGGCTCCGGTGACTGGAGGAGCTGGGAGCAGTGGCTGGTCAATGGGAGGTCCTTGCCTCCTTGAGGAAGCCCAGATTCATCTTGAAGGCTGGCCCTCGCCCTGGGCCACCATCCGCAGCCGGTCAGCGGAGGTTCCCATGGGGTTATGATGCTGAAAGGGTTTCAGGAGCGCTCCAACTCTGAGACTGAAAGACCCGGGAGTCGCTAAAGAAAGCTTGCAGGTGAAAGACCCTGCAGATCGCACGGGCCGATCCACACCTGATCACGAGGATGGTGCGAGACCGGTTTTGTTCCTTTAGGCAAGGGGTTGTCATGCGCCAGGGGTGACCGGACAGCAACTAACAGCAACAACAACAACACATTGAGGCCTTAGCACTCAGGTTCAGAGCCTGCCAAAAGCCATCTTAAAACCAAGCGCGATTTCTTTGGAGACCGCCTGGGAGGGACGGTCACGTGGTCGCAAACACTTTCTGGAAGGAGCTGTCCTTCCAGTTCACAATCCTTGGTGGTGATGCACGAGTTGCAGAGAAATGGGGTGTTACACAAATACAAAAAACAGAAGGTAAGCCGAGAGAGGCAGTGGGACTGTGTCCCAGGGCGTGGAGACTCCCTGTGCCCCAAACGGGCGCGGTGCGGCCACAAGTCTGCATTGGAGAACAGCCAAGGGCCCGCTAGGCGGAGACCTGCCAACTGAGCGCGCACCTTACTTCAAACCTTTAGTTATTGTTTTTGACTTGAAATGTGAAACAGAGAAACGGAAATAAAAAAATTGTTGTTGTTATGGAATTCATTTCCTTCTAGGAGAGAAAATAAAAAACAAATCACAACGATGGCCAGATGAACACCTCGTCTGAAATGAATGGCAGATTTAATTACAAAATGCTGTTTGCCCAGCCTCCTTGACTGAGGAACGCATTCGGATTCCATTTCCTTAAATGAATCTAACGATTCCCACGTGCATCGCTCTCTGCCCAGAAAGCGCTCTGGGTGCTTTCCCTCCCCACTTGAAAGGGCGACTCCGGCACCGTGGCTTATTTTAAAACAAATCAAAGGACAACCGAGGCAACAAATTAATCGGATGAGCATTGACACTCCCCACATTCTGTGTGTCCGAAGACAGAAGTAGAAGAAAATCTCTGCCCTTTAAGAAACGAAATTTAGTAAAAGACCAAAAATATTCTTCATGAACGTTTTGCTTCTTTGTTCAACTGTGCTGGGTTTTTAAACGCCCCTGGATCGGCTTGCCAGCATCCAGGAAAGCAAGGTAGCAATTTTTCTCCAGGAACTGGCGCTGAAGGGCTCACGTGCCAGAGCTCTCCTTCCGGC